GTGTGTGTGTGTGTGTGTGTGTGTGTGTGTGTGATGGATAGTAGCTCTTATAGGGAAAAGAAAAGAGGAGCTCGTGATGACACTAGGAGGTCACAGTGGAATGTCTGCACACTTCCACCAATGGGAGCTGCCCATCCTTTCAGATCCAGCACAAGCATGTTCATTGCATTGTATTATGCTCATTAAAGTATGTGTGCTCTAGCATTTACAATCATGTGTCCATTCACATGATTATAAATAGACACATGACTATAAATGCTAAAGCACATTTACTTCTACAACATACCGAGTTCACCTCACAGGTATAAACAAAACAATGCACATAGAGGTCTATTGAGAATAGGCAACTAAACATGAGGAAGCTTATGTGTACTGAGAGACAAGTGAAGAAGGAATATGCCAACTAGAAAGAAGAATGTTTGGAACGTAGAGAGCTAGTAAATGTTATGGTTTTAAATACACCCACAGGTTTTTTTTTATTTCTCCCCTCAAGAAGTAGACTCCAATTCTCTTCCTTTTCATATGGACTGGACTTACAAACTTCTTTCTCAAGATTAAAATGCAGGGGAAATAAAGAGTGCTGACTTTTGAGACTAAGTTAGGAAATGCCATCCAACTTCTGCTGAGCTTCTGGCTCATACTTAGAACCTGGCCTCCATGCTTTGAGGAAATCCAGTCAATATGCAAAGGCTATGTAGGAATGTTCTGGCCAAAGGCTCCCCATAAAGTTCTAGCTGACAGCCAGCCAGCACCCATCACCAGACATGTGAATAATGATGCTATCAAACCAACTCCAGCCACAGGATCTGACTAAAACCTCATGAGAGGCACTGAACAACTATCAACTAGCCCATCCTTGTCAAATCCCAGAAACATAAGCGATGATAATAATAAATGATGACCACATTACATACCATTAAATTTAAGGTAATTTATTATGCAGAGGAAGGCAACCAGGACAATAAGTGAAGTGATTACATCAGGGTAGGTAAAGTGAGTTAGATGGGGAGTAAACAGCAAAGGTTAGAGATAAGGCTTACTTCCCCATATTTACTTTCCTTGAAATAGAAATAAGGAAAAAAAAGGTTTTAGATTATGATTTCTCTTGCTTTTTTTCTTTTGGCATAATTGCTTATCAAAGAATTCAAATGAAAATGAATGTAAGTCTTTTAAATAGTACAGATCATGAAGATTTTAAGTATCTCCATTTCTCATTTGTTGATTAGGGCGTATTTCCTAGCTTTGGAATAAGATTCTTGTTTGGCGTTTTAATTAATAAACATATCTCATAAACACATGCATTGTGTCATAACTAACCGATTATTTTGTTCATTTATTAAACAATATTTGTTAGTATTTATTAGGTACTTGGTATTCTGCTAGAGATATAATAGCTAATAAGATATACTCCTTACATTCAAATAATTTATTAAAAAATCTTATGGTAGAGGCAACAAGTAAACTAGCAATTATAGTAGAGCAAGTCCTATATATGTACAGAAGTGCAAAATCTATGACACCATATAGGAACATCTCATCAGCTCTTGACAAAAGGTTGAGGAGGTTTCAGGGAAGGACTTTTGGAGGGAGTCAGACTATGTTGACACCTCAAGGGAAGAAACTGAGTTCAACCAGTGAAGCTCTCTAGAGGTAGTTGAGGTGGCAGGCTAAGAGTTTGGGCAAACCTGGAAGCAAGAATACATGTAACAAATTCTGGGAGCAAAGGTGTCTCAATATGGCTGGAGAAGAGATCACAAGGCAGAGACTAAAGAGAGAACACAAGGGGGAACCTCTGTCATGTTAATAATTTTGAACTTTATCCTAAGACCTTAGGGAAGCCATTGAATGCTTTTGAGCAAGGAGAGAGACATGATGAAATTTGACTATGATGCAAAAAAAAAAAAAAATTGAAAGAGGCAAATATGATTCTGGATTCTGGCAGAACAATCAGAACACTCTTGCAGCAATTCAGAAGACAGAAGACAAAGGTAGTAGCTCAAAAGTGGTGTAGGAAGAGTCACCCTGCGAGGAGGGAACAGAGCTATTGTTCCTTCCCAGCCCAGAGATCTTCAACTCTGCGTAAAGGTCTTTTGGACATGGATAAAAGAGATTGCAAGTCGGTAATCTAATTTCAGGAGGGACAGATCCTGGGTGTGTATTTCAGAGTGCTAAAGTCTCTCCAGAAAGTGATACCCATGTGGCATTCTGGACCAAATGCCGTATGTGTTGTAAAAACAGACAGGTGCTTTGATAAGCTGGCAACAGATTTCAACCCAAAAAAATCTTTTTTTAATGAGAAATCTCTACCACACCAGTAACTTATACAAAAACAAAGATTGGTGTGTCTGTATCTATGTATCAAATGAATATTCATGCTTTGTGAGTCACTTTAACATTTTCATAATCTGACATTGAATGAAGGGGTCAGAGCTCCACTCATTAAAAAAATGATAAGGCTTTCATATGAGCTTACATGATATTGCAAACTGGAATTTTTTTCTACCTCTTTTGAGAAAGATTTCTCAAATTAGGATAGCATATGAGGTGTTAACAATGTCCATGTGCTTTCAATGAAATCAACACCTATAATATACAGTAACATTTTTAAAGCATTACATATGTGTAAGTACATCCGTGTGTATGTGATGTATATGCATTAAATAATTATATTGAAGATACATATTATATTTGTAGGTGTGTAAATTTGAGGAATGAGCAAACTGAGCCACACAAGAACAGAATCTGCTTTAATGCATTCCATATAAATTCAAGAAGAAATTAAAGCAATTCTTTGCCAGCAGCGTGGCTGATATGATAGGACAACTGCTTTATTTTGCTACTACCAGAACAAATTAACACTACTGTAGGGAGAGACAAGGAAAAGTGGTTTGCAGTGATTCACACAATAAATAACCAATGTAGCTGTAGCTATTGTCACTGAGCCAAAATGGTTTAATTTAAATCATTTATACTAATTACTGAAATTGCCAGGGAATCATCAGGAATAAGTATTTAGAGAAATTCAAAAGGGAAACTTAGTGTTGCTATAGATTCACATCTGCATTGTTTATTTTATTTCACTTTATTTTTAAATGTTTGGAAGAGCACTTAATCTAGGGTTTAACAAGACAGATCAGAAGGATGACAAATAAGTGACCTTTCTGTTGGGGTTGAGGGTAAATATTCATTATAATTGGACCATAGAAATTTACTAGTTTGCATGTTGTTTATCAGGTTTTAAGTTTTTAGGTACAATATACTTATTATGTTAGTCCAAACTGAAAAAGAAAAAAAGCAGACAAGAACAAAAATCACGGACTCTCTATCACATGCCAGACATTGTCACATTGTCCCATCAGTCATCACAATTACACTGTTAATTGGTTAAAATTCATATCATTTTCAAAAAGCCATTTTAGACTTTTTTAGGGTAAGCCATGTTAGTCTTGTTTTAGTCTTTTAGACTTTTTTTAGTCTGTCCTGTAAGAGGTTATGACTGCTTAAGGGGGCTCTAGCTAGTAAATTCTGGAGGTGGGATTCTAAAAGACATATGTTCAGTTAGACCTCACTGCCTTGCTGCTTACCTCCCAATTTCACTGGCTGGCCAAGGATATAATTTTTCTAGCGTGAGATACAAATGTAAATAAATATTCAAATAAGCAGAACCTGAATTTTGTGATTCAAAAATTACAGGGTTTTTGAACTAGACGGTAACTTGGAAATTTAGTCCAAAGGTGCTACTTTATAAAGAAAGCAAATGAAACTCAACAGAGAAGAAAGTGATTGACTCAATGTCATTCCCACTGTTAGCAGTGGACTTGCAACTAGAATTCTCATCTCTTGAGCCATGCTAAAACTCTATTTAGCATGACATAAACCATAATTAATGAATATCTAATGGTCATGAGAGTAAATGTGTATCTAAACCAAACATGTCCTGTTTTGCCATGTTTGAATTTTTAGTTTTACTTCTCAGCAAATTGCGGACACTAAAGATTTGAATGTCTTCTTTGAGTTTCTTTCACTGGGTTTTTCTTTTCTTTTTTTTTTCTTGTTTTGTTAGTTTTATTGTAACAAAGCAACTTGTACACTTCTAACGTTTAAGACTGAGCATCATCTTTCCTTTCCAGTGAAACAAAAAGAAAATTTAAAAATAAACAGGAACAAAATTACAATAGAGAATGTCAATTCCAAATAAGATCCTACAGGTTCTGCTGATTCTCCCATTGAGTGGCAGGGCTCAAGTCATTAGGAGAGAATTTATTTTAAAAGTGTCATCTTAAACTGCAAGGATGACTGTCAGATGTCACAATAAACATGCCAAAGGAGAAGCCATGTTGTCAAAATGCCCACTTACCCCACCCAAATATCTCAAACCCACCCTTTGCTGATCTTCTATAACCCCATTTTTTAAAGTTTTTTTTTTTCTTTTTTTAAACAAGAGAAAGTAGACAGATACATGTTGGTAAATGCTAACTGTCCATATTCACATAGAGACACAGTGTACTCTCTGAGCCCAATATACAGAGAAAGGAGGCAAAAGCTAGAATTCTATGCACTGCTACACAGGGGCCTACACCCTCCAGCTTCCAGCAGAGCGAAGGGAGCAGGCTTTTCTTTTTTCCCACAGAGCTTGGCAGTGTTGATTTCATACAGTTTTTGTTAAGGCAGGAAGGGATAAAATGAATTTCAAACAGAAAGGGGTAGAGACTCTTCTATTGTATCCTGCTCAAGATATTTCCCCCAAAATAAGTTGAGAACCATGGTGTAGAGAAAAGGGATCTCAAAAACAGGGTGACTGAGCACAAGAGGGAAAAAAAAAAAAAAAAGACTGCAACTTGCTCCCAGGGACTGGAGAAAATTTTAAAAAAGGAAGGTTGGAATCCATCAGTGTTCTATTAGTCATCTTCTCCTTCATCCTCCTCTCCTTCCTCCCCTTCATCATCATCTTCATCTTCTTCACCTTCATCCTTATCCCCTTCTTTATCAATATCTTCTAATCATTCCTCCTCTTCTTCATCATTATCATCTTCTTCTCCTCCTCCTTCTTCATCATCCATATCAGGAACCAAGTAGTATTGTAATGGGTTTTGCCAAATATCATCTTTGACGACCTCTCCTAATTCATCAGCACCTGCATCAGAATGGTCAGCAAACCAGGTAAAGGAGCTCTCTGGTTCCTCATGCTGCCTCTTCCTGCTGGCTTTATTCTGTGTTTGACTTGAACATTTCGTCAAATCCTTTCCAGATTTCCATTTGATTTCAGTGGACTTTGAAGATGTATCACCACTCTCATTCAGATGAAATTCTTTGGAGAGAACTTTATTTTCAAAGTAAGGATTTTCATCAAAATAAAAATCTATTCTGTAACCTGATTTAATATCTTCAAATTCTGTCACTTTAACTCTGGTCAAATAATGCAGTGCCTCTTTGTCCTTCTCCCCACGCAGTGCAGACACTCGTGGATGGTTGACAAATGTTGTTACCCAAAAATTTGGGATTTTGGCGATCAATTCTGACCTCTTTTGAAGAAATGGTTGGCGGAGTTTGTTGAATTTCTGTTCTACTTTCAAAATCTCCTCACTGGCTTGTTCATTAAGTCTGTCTATTTCATTTTGTACTTCATCAATATGTTCAATTGCTTCTTGCTGTTCTTTTTCTCCCTTCTTCGGCAAGCCTGCAGAGGCCGATGTCTCCTCCAGTCCCTGAGCAGGAGGTGGTCTTGGTTTCTTCTTTTGAGGTGGGAGTGGAGACTGGCGTTTGGGGGCCATGCTGCTGGGGAAGTCCGAGAACCAGAGCACAAATCTTCTTGCTCGTCCAGTAGCAAGCAGAACACTCTTCACTGGGTTTTTTCATTCATTCTTTTTACTATAGTATAAATGTGTAAAAGCATAACAAAACAATAGCAGTTAAATTAAGATGCAAATATGTTAAATTTTATATGCCCAGTTTAAAATGAACTTATGGTAGCATGGCTTAATGCAGTTTTTGTCAGGACTTCCCTTCTCTCACAGATCAACTAAATTACTTTACATACCCTCTTAAATGTCTTCTTTTGAAGTATCAGTTTACATCCTTTGCTCACTTTTAGATGGGGTTGTTTTTTTCTTGAAAATTTGTTAAAGTTCTTTGTAGCTTCTGGATATTAGCCCTGTGTCAGATGGATAGATTACAAAAGTTTCCTTCCTTTTTTCAGGTTGCCTGTTCACTCTGATGATAGTTTATTTTGCTGTGCAGAAGCTCTTTAGTTTAATTACATCCCATTTATCAATTTTGGCTTTTGATGCCATTACTTTTGGTGTTTTAGTCATGAAGTCTTTGCCCATGCCTATGTGCTGAATGGTATTGCCTAGGTTTTCTTCTAGGGCTTTTTGATGTTAGTCTGCTTTGTGTTGATAACAGGAAATAGCTGAAGCTCGGTAATTTATAAAGGAAAGAGGTTTAATTGGCTTACAGTTCTGCAGACTGTGTAGACGCATAATGCCAGCATCTGCTAGGCATTTGGTGATGTCTCAAGAAGTGTTTAATCAGGCAGAAGGGAGCAAGAGATATGACAAGAGAGGGAGCAAGAAAGAGGAGGAGGTGCCAGGCTGTTTATAACAATCAGATCTTGCATTAACTAATAGAGGAGAAAACGTAGGCATTATTCCAGGTGGGTCACCAAGCTACTCATAAGGGATTCATCCCCATGACCCAAACACCTCTCACTAGGTCCCATCTTCAACACTGAAGGTCACATTTCAACATGAGATTTGGATGAGACAACTGTCCAAAGTATATCATCATGATTCTCCTTTTTATTCTTTTTCTTTGTGTCAAGTGCCATCAGTTGGCTGAACTTAATTCACAGATAATTGAATTAAGGGAAGATCAGTAAGAAAATGAGTTAAATATCATGCATAAAACAGGTTAATTCATAACTAATGAAATAGTTAAATTAAAAGGAAAGTAAAATAATAAACAACTTAGGAATTACATAAATTATTTTGATGTAATAACTGGGATACTATTGGTATTAGAATGCTGATTTTGTTAGGTGCTGTAAGAAAGTCACCTCAAAATTTTCATATGAAAGCCAGATGTAAATGTATGAATATAATAACATATAGACAGAAATAATTAGCAAATATTGGATCCAATTTGAACTGTACTTTCCTTCTTGATTCCAAAATGTTTTGAATTAACTGATGAGCTCATATAATAAATCAACATAGATAGAAGTATCCAAGAGTACATCATACAATAAAATTTTTGTTTCAGAGAGAGCTGATACCCTCTGTGTAATCACAGTTCTGCTCCACAGGAACCCTACCTCCCCCACTCACCCACGCTTCACCAAAGTCTGGTGTTATTAATATTTAAGTCTATATTTTAGCCAGAAGGATTTATATTAAACCTAAGACATCAAGTTGTAGGAGATAAAGAATGAAGGTCATGATCTTTCTATTTTATCTTTCTATTACTCTCAGCCTAAAACTGGCTCCTGGGGTAATACCTATTTCTGTAAGAAACTCTTTTCACTGATCTCTTCTTTGTGGCCCTTATAATAGTCTGTATTCAAGAGCATGTAAGCATCTAATGTACATGCACAGAAACTTCTTCAAGGGAGAAGAACCTGGCTCCTGAGGCCTGTAGGCTGCCACTTGACACCAGGAATTCTGAAGTGCTTGCACTCAGAAGAAATTATTCTCTTCTCCGGTATCCTGAATAAAAAAAGACAACTCATAATATTTTAAGAGGCTTTTAGACTCTAGATGCTAGGTCATTTCTCTTTTTCTCTTTACAGGTGGTTCATAGAGTATGATTTTATAAGTTTTTATTGTGTTTTTTAATGTATTTTTAAGTAAACTACTAAGTAAATGGAACCTGATGCTAGCAGTAAATTAAACATGTTAATTCTTTGATACACCTCTTTAATAAGAATGTGTGTGTGTGTGTGTGAGTGTGTGTGTGTGTATGTGTGTGCGTGTGTGTATATGTGTATTTTCCTTTTGGAAGGCTTGCTTTAGTTTTCTTCTTCTTTAAGGTCAAAATAATCTTTAAGATTTAATGTTTATGTTGAAAATTACTTGGCACAAATCCTCCTAATTCTTCTTGAATATCATATTACAATTATGCATATGCAAACTGCAGCGATTGCACAGGTGTGTTATTTGATAAATAGCTTGACTTTCATAATTACATTTTCACCTGATTTTGTCTTCTGCCATCTCTCTGTGAGCCCTTGATTTCTCTGTTGAATAGTATAAAATCTTCTGTGATTTGAAATGATTTCATCTGACGTTAGAGGAGTTTTTCAATCTCTCAGGTGTGGTTTTATGAGCAAGTCAAATGTTTGCTCTCTGTTCTGTAACTACAACCGATGAAACATTTGTACTGGATTTAGTGTCATAATAAATTACTAAATTAACCTGTTTCATGAATATAAAATGAAATAATTTTGTGAGAAATTGCTTAATAAGATTTATTAAATATTATCTCACAATGAAAAGTGTATTATCTGAGTTTAGATAATTTATAAATAAAATTAAGTTGTAAATAATCACATGGTTATGCAATTTGTCCAATATTTTTGATAGAACATGACCATCACCTTATTTCACTTTAACTCATTTGGTTTTCTTGGCTTTTTAAAATAGGGAAGGTGGATATTTTTATCTTCATTTTGGCAATAAGAACTCTGAGTCACAAAGGTTATGTCATTTGCCTGAGGTTTCTGCAGCTAGAAAGCAAATAACTCAGAAAAGAAGATATTCAATCACAACTAAGCATCCATTTCTATAAAACTGAATAAAAAATTGTTCTGAATAAACTATGTGCCTATATTTTTTCAGGCCCATCTAGATTTAAACCTCTGTAGTGTTTGCAGACCCCCTTTTTTTGAACTGTTTGACAGATGGGCATGGGGAAATGTCAAGTTACAAAGAATAATATTTTGGAATGTCTTATGTGCATTTCCCTAGAAAGAGGCTTCCGCCATGGTTTGTAGAATTTATATTTCCTTCTCTTTTCTCTCTTTCCTTCCTTCTCTCCCTCATTTATTCACTATTTACAAAATCTTATTAGGCAGCCAATCTATTTGAAGTATGAACCTAGGAGTTAGGAATGCCAAGTTGAATAAAAAGATTCTTTTTTTTTTTTTGAGACAGAGTCTTACTCTGTCGCCCAGTCTAGAGTGGTGTGATCTTGGCTCACTGCAACTGCCCCCTCCCGGGTTCAAGCAATTCTCCTGCCTCAGTCTCCCAATGGGATTACAGGCATGCACCACCACATCTAGCTAATTTTTGTATTTTTAGTAGAGACAGGGTTTCACCATGTTGGCCAGGCCGGTCGCAAACTCCTGACCTTGTGATCCACCCTCCCCGGCCTTCCAAAGTGCTGGGATTACAGACTTGAGCCATCACGCCCAGCCTCACAAAAAAAAAAAAAAAAAAAAAAAAAAAAAAAAAAAAAAAAAAAAATTTAAAAAGATTCTTGATATTAAGAAACATACATTTTAATGGAAAAGACAAATAATTAAACTAAATCCTACCATAGAGTGTGCAAAGAAAACAAAAGCTGGAGTTTGGTTGGGTAGAGAATGGTGATCTAAACCTAATGTGGTATGTAAGTGTGGATATTCTGGGCATCTCTTATTTTATGTTTTTCTTAGATGAATAGACTTAAAATGAATTACATCTATGGACAGCACATCTCATTGTGCTTCATAGACTTTAATTCACAGTAATGGCAGATAACTGGGTAGAGGCCAAATTTAGAGTAAGTGAAAAAGTCTCTACCTCACACAGCTTTTTTCCATTTAAATTAAGGTTAAAAAATAGATTTTTTTTCTTCTTACCACTAGTATGACATCAGAAAGCTATTCTCATAAGACTCAAATTCATATTAACCTTAAAGATATTGTGCCCTTGAAGAATTACAGACTATATTATTTACCAGGAAAGATTCCAAACTAATTTCCATCTTGACAGTGATGATGCTACTTATTGTATCAAGAAAATGTGATATATAAAAATTCCAAATAGTTATTTTATGGGCTGCCTTTATACAATAATTCTGAAGGAAGAGCTTTGAAGTAGGACATGACAAGAATAAGCATGGATTGGAGATGAAATATAGATTCTCAGTTAAAAGAAACCTCCTGTATATTGTGGCCACTCTTCTGATATATGTTTGCCTGGTGTCTTATGCACAATGGTTAGCTGGGGTTGGTGGATTAGAGGTTAAAATTTATGATTTCTATCTAAAGACATATTTTAGGCTATTAATTAAACTTTTCTTGCATAATTTTCAATACAAAAATTACTGTACTCTAAACTTTATGTGAAATCTTTATTACAATTATAACAACAACAACAAAAAACTCCTTCAGAAGTGTTTTGAAGGATGTGCTTGATTGTTTTGTTTTCAATGAATATCTCCAGTAAAATAATTAATAAAATTATATTTCTCCCAGTTTATAGTTGAAAAACTAAAAATATGCTAATACAATGATCATTTTCTTTTTCATTTATTTATTGTTATCCAAAATGAAATTTTATAAAAAACAGGTATCAAAATTAATACTAAGCAATATCCCTGACTACAGATATTTTCTGATCACTTGAGATTTACACCAGAAAATTTAACTGGCGTATATATTAAATATTAATTTTTAAATATTATGTTAGTACTAATTTCTAATCTGATGTAGATCAGTAGGAGCTCCACATGCAGTTTGGCCTTCACATTTCAACAGGTGCATTACATTTAATTTAAGAAAATAAGGAAA